TTCACAGCGAGTGATGGATTCGTGGCCGAAGGTACGAGGCGGGAAGAGAAGCCGAAGTTGAAACGCGAGGACGAAGACGGAAAAGAGAAAGTCTTTGCGGGCGTCAAGCGGGAAGCTGAAAATAAAATCACAGATCAGCAACCGCCTGGTAAGATGCCTAGCACGGAACAAAACAGGGGCAAGAGAATGGAAGTATTGCGAGGCGGCAGGCAGAAGATCAGCGCCACAAGTAACAACACCAGAAGTCCCACCAAAACAACGAAGGCGACTAGTACGCAGAAGATCACGAAGTTCTTTACTAATAGCTCTTGATGTAATTGTTAATACGGCAGTACGACTTTATTACCTACCTTCCGATAAGTGAACGATGTAGCAGGTTAGATGGGGATTGAGCTTAAAGGTTGTGAGAGGGTTTTAATTGGGTTATATAGGTGTGTAGACCAACACGAAGTGAATGATGATCGTATTTCTTGATTGGCGAGAGTCCCGGTTGCGGATTACTACTTCGTACACCCCAACCATTGCCCCCTGTCAGTGCCTCGCGAGTACACGGAACAGGAGCATGGCCATAGGTTTTTGATTATAGTACTGAGACGCGTCGTTAGGTGTTTACTATAGTTACTTAGACAGCTTCAAAAGGATTTGAGTTCATGCAGGTACACACACAGCTTGTTTCTGTCTCGCTTTACACCAACCTATGCTAGTTTTTAACCCAACAGGAAAGGCATGTTGTCGGGGGGATCGCCAGGGTTGTGTACACGAGACAAACATCTCCTTACACACTGCGCCGAATCTCGATGAAATCCAACTCATGTGCTTTGCATGGTGATAGAGTTGACCCATCGTCTTGAATCCGTGGCCAGGTATCTAGGACGATGTTGCCCCTCAACGTCAACTGGAAGATTATCGTGAAGGCAAACTTTGTATGTTATTAGTTACACACATACATATTAAAATTAAAAACCACCCAAATGGTACACCTCTTCCCTGTTCTACGTGTGATCCAAGCTTCGGGCTGTTGTTTTCATGTGGCAACTTTCTACTGTCTGATTACAGCAACAACAATACAAGACGGTATTGGCATATTCTCAAGCTTCCCTATGCTTGACCTTCAGAATCAAGTTGAGACTGGTACACAACCACGCGTGTGCCCCCGCCCAGGATCAGAAAGTGCAAACATCAGCAATACTTACAGTATCAGGAACCCGTTCGTCCTAGCAATAACACCGCATCATCATGCAGATACGCATGAACAGAAGTTAATACAATTGCAATGCATTAGTGTGGCCCACAATATTGTATTCACGGCAATATCGTCACAGAGCATAGGCTCTACGGTTTGGAATTGATACTGGAGAAACCTAACATAATGGGAGTCATCTATTGTCTCCCATTCAGTAGTGAATGAGGTGTAAACCTAATATCTAACTGCTCGAATATATAAGGGAGCTCTTCTCTCATCCCCCTCCATCTCACACTCTTCCACAACTACTACAACCACCAGATCTCTTCATCCCACTATCATCGTAACATTCCACTATCGTTACTGTTACTTCACGATCATCGCCCTACAACAACTTCTCATAGGTTGCTTGCATTCAGGATGTCTTCATCCACATCATCCCACGTCTCTCCTCTACCATATGACCCTACCCGACCCGTCGGTGAATCGACAACTACATACCAAGGCTCTTTTCTCTTTGACTCCGTCACTTCCGCCATGGCTAAATTCTCTCCTACAGCACTGTATAGCATTATCAAGAGAGAGGATTCAGCGGAACAAGCCAGACGTCAGACGATGATGACACAAATGGACTGGTCTTCATGCCCTACTGTATCTTCCACTCATTCGCAGGCAGAATGTAAGAAGCTTTCCCTGCCGTCAACAGAAAACACACTGTACATGATCAGCTAACTATCAATTAGCTAACTATGCCTACGGTAACACTCGCTATGACCAGGAGACCATGCCTCTACCTTGTGATATCGACTACAAGCATGGACTCCCCATTGATGATAACGTATATGATAATGATACCGCTCCCATCCGTTCTCAACATAGCTATGTCGATTACCATCCTTACGGCAGCATCATCATTACCCATCAGATCTCGCCCCTTCAAGACTCGTTGCTTAATTCGACTCCCACTATTTTCCCGCCGTCGATCCAACCAGAGACAATCTATCCTCAAGAATATGTCTATGGTTCATATCCCTCCTCACGGGTCCAGCAAACCCCTCCACCTGCGTTCCCACCGCAGGAGATTTCCAGACCGGAATCGCCTCAGATCAAGATCGAGCCAGTTGAAGAGAATGCCTACTCATACCATTACTTCATCCCATCTTACGCCCCGGAGCCGCAGGCGATGGGAATACTGGAGTCGATCGAGAGTGATGACGTCGAGAGGCGTTATCCACTGGAACCGATCGAGCACATCAAGCGCGAATGGGTCGAGTACTACTCTGATTCCTCTGCAAGCTCGACTGCTAGCACCTTTGCTTCTACCAACTCTCATTGCTCTACAAGCTCGAGCATGACTAGCTATGATGCCCACGATGTCACTGGTCGCTCTCTAAAACTCGAGGAGGGACAGTATTAATGAGCTATTTATAGTCTCTTGAACTTGCTCTTAGGTCATACCTTGTCAATATCTCTGGTAGGAGGTACTTATAAGCTCTGTTGTTGCAAGAGTCTGATTGCCCTTTGTTTAGTGTGATGGTCAGATCTCATCACGGTTAGGTTGGTCAGATTGTCATTACGGATCGGATTACGTGGCAGATTTAGTGCTACGACTATTTTTCTCTTGTTTTCTCCCTAGAGGAGATTCTGGGCTTTTGCATTTCAACGGGTTCGGGGTACATTGGCATTGATCATGGGGATTTGAGGGTTTATGTCTCTTCGGGTAGGGGGCTTGTTATGATACCTGATCTCTCTATGAAACAAATTTGTTGACAAGGGGCGTTTGGTCATGTATTTCCAGCTACTGTATATGAATGGATAGTTGGAAAAATGAGGGTACGGATAGAGACTTGATCACATACCTAGATTCACGCCCGGGAAAGGAAAAGTAAAGGAGTTTCAGCGTATTTGTGTCAATGGACAGACTGTCGGAGTCAATAAATTCTAGGTTTTCCTATATATCTGTGGTTCTGACTTGACCTCTACATTAAGCGCCTTGTGATTGTAATTTGACTAATAATTGCTTTTCAATGAAAGAAGTAATAGCACGGGCAACCTCACCCAAGTTTTCATATGTCGAGCTACTCTAGTGTCATAATCATCGTCACTAGTTATCCACCATCATGATATCTTCTTCTGTTCTTCGCTGTCTGATCCGAACGAATATTTTGTTACTTGAGCAGTGGATGTGATATGGTTTCCAAGAGGTCTAGCTCGTTCTATTTTCATAAATATTATTGTTAGAGTACAGGTTTTGTAAAGAAAAGTATAAGTATACACAGAACCAAGGCAAGCCGAAGAACATGTTTCGGAGACACTTACAAGACAACGGTTTGTTATATGATATAGCCTCAATACTATACTCATAAGGTGCTAGTAGAAGTGGAAAGTTGTTGACTCGGGCGACTTAGTTGTGTGTAGTTCTACATGTCCATAGATGGAGCTTTGACAGGGATTTCATTCAGGGGGTCCTCAGACCCTGACTTGACAATACTTAGTCTGTAGTTGCTCAGCAACAAGTTAAGTAAATTTGAAGGCACACCTCTTTTTCGGCACAGTTAAAGTTCATACTGTCTTACAGCTGGTATCAAGCCTTCCTTAAAACGGGGTATTGCACTAGCAATCGTTGTGATTTGTTAAAAATTGAAAGATTAAGAGTAAACACTGTAAAAGGAACATCACTCGACAACGACAGGACTCGAACCTGTGACTGAATGATTCAAATGAATCTATTTCTGGCTTTGTTGGTGAGATTGAGGTTGAAGAAGGTACGGACGACGATCACGTCGTAGAAATCAGAAAGTTCGTCGGACTTAGAAAAATCTACCCCTCCCTCGCTCTCCCTCTTACAAACATATACGCACGCATCCATGCACCTAACAACCCTCCTTAACCAGCGGCACCAAGGAAGTGTTCTTACACACTTGGTCGCAGCTGCTTGCAAGTGCAGTTTACGACGACCAACGGCGGGGATACAGCCGTGAAGCTGCGTGCAAGGGTATACGCACTTGTTTGTAGCTATTAACAAGCAATAAACTACAACCTACAACAACCTACAAGAAACTACGATGGCTGTTAGCAAGAGCTGTTGGCGAGGGTGTTCGCGAGAGCTTGGTAAGATAGCAGACAGTAGATCATATAGTAGATTTGACTTTTATAGTGACTTTATAGTGATCAGATATAGGGCAGTCCATGATATGACCTCGGGAGGTCATGATGCAAACCACACCAAAGCTGAAGCCCTCCAACCGTCTCAGGGGCTAAGCTCGGAGTGGCTGAGCACGCTGAGGTCATGACGCTCATGATTGGAGACTCAAGCATTATTTATCAAACTGCTATTTATCAAGTCAATTCGCTATAATTCTTCGTCAATTGGTATACTCTAGCATGGTGGACGTAGCGACATCGGTCTCCAATACATCCTCAGCTACAACATGTCCTCTCTCGCACAACGGTCAATGATAATTTTGCAATGCTCATGTCTTACGCAGTATCATATAGAAGCTGATTTCTTGAGCAGTCAGCGAGTACTTTGTTATCGGCGCGCCTGTTGTTTTTAGAGCCTTGGCGAAGGTAGTTTAGAGCAACTTGACCTTGAAGAGCCAGAAGAGCAAAGATTATTTACGCAGTTCGCTACGTGTTCAATCAATCCGTAAGGATCGCCGCCGTGTCTGGATGCAACGTCTAGGATCTCGTATGGATCTCATCAACAACGCCCTGCCAACTTTCCAAGGCTACTGAGTGGATTAATAAGTAGTCTCGCATGTTGAGGTTTGGAAAAGAATATATTATAATGTGGCCAACAAAAAGATCACGAAATGGCAACGTGGCAGAGTGGTTAACGCGTGCGACTAGAAATATACATGATATGTTATCTTGCAATCGCATCCCTTCGGGGTCACAGGTTCGAGTCCTGTCGTTGTCGATAATTCTTTTTTTTAGTACACGCTAGGTTAGCGTGCACCTTATTACCGCTTCACTTTTACATGGTGTGGACCAGAAGAATTCTTAGCTCAAGGCCTTGGTTTTTTCTCAAGCTAAAACATATATATTATTTATTAACCTTCATTATTAATAACTAGGTAGTTAAACTAATAATCAAAATAAAAAAGTCTTACGTTCCAACCACTCAGCCACGTTGCCGTTGAGAAATCAGACGAGAATTTGTTTAATATACAGGAGTTCATAATAGTACACGTAAATTCCATGTTTGCTACTGATAAAGGAGGGTCGCACCTTCCCCTCTGAATTGCCTATTATGAAAGCTACTAACAGTATATATATTGAGTCACAAGGTTCAATGTTATTGCACTGGAAGAGGGTATAGTTTTTCTAATAGGGTTTTCTTTTCCACTTGGCATCTTGATAGAGAGCTCTGAAAGGGGGTCGGTCAGGAGCTGCTATCTGGCAGCACCCGCTACACAGACATCTCGGACACTTACAGGGTCTCATAAACAACTGGGTAAACCTAATAAAATAAATAATGCTCAGATAATACTACTGCAGGCGTATCCGACTGTTCATTCTCTGGGTCTCGCGCAACTTACAAACTAGACGGCATGATACGAGATCAAGTATTTCTTCACATTCAATTGAAACAGGGGATTTTGTGACGATTTACATGGAGCGACACATGAACAGCTTTCTGGTGATGAGATTACCTATTTACAACAGCGAATGTTACATGAACGGCTATAGAAAATCAAACTACCAATCATAATCATTGGCGACGTAGCGTCTTTTTGTCAAGTCCTACTTATGAGGCCTTCTTGAAACACGCCTGGATAAGAGCACTGTCGGTCCAGGTATTGCCATTCTTCGTCGGGACTTCGCTGAGCTCATACGTCTGAGGATCAAACGATCCCGCCGCCCAGCCTACGTAACCGAGGTAGACGTCAGCGTTCGCATTGACGTACGCAATCTGGTCGCAGATATACTGTTCGCAGGACGCCGTGTTACCGCCACCCATCTCCGTATTCAAGGCCTGTCTCTTGTTGGTGCGCAGCCAGTCAGCGAGCGGCGCGAATGCCGTCGAGATATTATCCGTCACGCAATCCGTGTGAGTTCCAGAGTTGTCGCTGTCTGAGTACTTATGTACATCAAACACGAGCCCCGTTGTGCTGCCATCTGGATTCACCACACCTAGCAACGCGGGGCCGCTGTTCGTGGGAAATGCCGCCGCTGATGTATAATCGTTCCCTGGGATCAAGATTGTGTGTGCAGAACCGCCGGCCGATGTCTCGGCTTGACGGATTGCAGCCACGGCTGCTTGTACGCTCTTCGCCCATGTGTTAATGTCCACCTCGTGAGGCTCGTTCATAAGGCCGAAGATAACCTTCTCCGCGGACGCATACTTTGTCGCGAGCTGGCTCCAGACATTGGCGAACTGGTCATCGGTTGGGCCACCTTGACCGATGATCTGTCCGTTCCAACGTGCATAATTATGAATCTACAAGCCGTCCTCTGTGAGCAACCACAATGACCTGACTAAGAATTTGGAGCTTGTTACTCACATCAATGATGCACGTCGCGCCGGTAGCTAAGCATGCCTGGACTAGCTGGTCGTATTGGCCAATGTTGTTGGAATCTAGCGTACCGCCTAATTGATTATTCACGAGAAATCTACAAGAAATTCCAGAGTTAGATTGTAGCACTTAGGTATCGTTGACGGTCGGCTCAAGCCGTAGCCGGACAGGAAGCATAGGAAAACCCGTGACCCAGGAATACGTACTGCCATCCCACTGGAAGCCGGAAAATGTTCATAGATAGATCTTGCGCGAAATGCGACATCTGTCCGGCTCTAAGGATAGTTAGCACTAATGTAAATATAATGCAGCTAAAACAGAGCTGGTTGTATCATGGCTTACCCATCAGGGCCACCAAGTGTTGATAGAGGCGGGACCACCTTAGTTGTGAGACAAGTTCCCTACGTCGCATTAGTCTAGTTTGGTTATCAAGGTCTTTTTGAGTCGCTGCTTACGTCTGTCCCACAGCCGAAGTCGAACCCAGCGATGTTGACACCGAAATATTGGACGCCAGTGGCTCTCTTTGAAGGTGAACCTGCTATATCTTAATATCAGGTGATGCCAGAGGGACAGGAAGACAGACTGTTCGCATGTGGCAGTGCAGATGCACCCGCCGCTAGCGTAGCAATAGAAGTAATCGTGAACTTCATAGTAATAGAGAAACGCTGAACTCGATACAAAGTACTATTGCTCTTTAAGCTATGAAGCTAAATGTTGTAGGTCAATTCAAAGAGTGTTGGTGAAGCTACGTTTATATACCTTTCCCCAAGCTATCTACCTTCCCTCGGGGTATTAGTGGAAGGCGACTATCAAGCTTGTTGATGGTAGAAGCCTTTATGTGATGTCACATCTTGATAATTCGAGACACTATATCTGGAGGCGGCGACGACGAGCCGAAGGAAGGTGATGTGGAATTCATGTAGCATCACCAATCACGTTGTTAATCTGAGATCGGATAGCTAAGCAGAGCAGTATAGTCTATGTGAAGCCGCATAAACGTGCGCGTTGTCTCGTCCAAGCCGCGGCCTACTACATAAACACATGGCACATCATAGTCATCAGTGCTGATCTTAACACTAAAACGACGATCAAAGCCATTTAAGCATTAAACCTCGGAGGGTGATGTTGCTAGTCGGAATAGCTAGAAACTACTAAATCCTATCAACTGGCAATCAATTGTAACGTCTAAATTTTTGAATTATGATATATCTGATAAGAACTAGCGTGATATACCATCTATTTTATAGTTTTCAGTTCATTTTTCCCAATTTTCTTGAGCTGTATTCTTTGGCTCAGATGCAGCAAACCTTGACTGTAGCCCTGCCCATGATGCCGGGTCTCCCATTAGCATGTCTATTATAAGTACGAAGTAGAAAGCTTGATTGGGACGAACTGCCGTAAAGGGCAATTCAATCGGCGGGCCGAAACCCATGAAACTTAGCGGACCCTTCTTAGTACGATTCGCTAAGACCTATGTGGGAAAGAAAGGTCGATCATCTCATTTTTGAGAAGGTTATACTCTACGATCAGCATGTGAGGATTCTCCCAAATCGAGCCGCGGTGGTCATACTAGGGGTTATCGGAGAAGTTTTCCATACAGCTCGCTATTCAACGTTCATCTGTTAATAGGTCGGAGAGAGGCTTGCATTATCCATACGATTTGGTCGCCGTACAAAAGATCTAATATGCATATGCGGACGAACGCAACTCTAGAATGAATTTGGGCATAGCGCCGCTCGCTAACTAATCAGCGCAATAGCAAAGAATGATGACATGACCCTATAACTACATTCCATCTAGACCTGGCTCGTCTAACGCGCTGCGTGCCCTGTTACGACAGCTCATCATCAACCTTATGGATCCGCTTAGCAAGTAAACACGGATGGACCAGGCACCGTGTAGCTATTAAAATTGCTATAGATATTTGCGGTGTAACCGGGATCAGTCGCCTTGAAGGCACCAGGAATCTTGGCCGTTGGTGAAGGGGTCGTGTTGCCACCTCCGGAGACTTTTATTTGCCCGCAGCTGATATACCACTGAGGGGTAGCCCCGGGATTATGAATCGCAAGAGATTGAATCCTCAGAAGATATTCGCCATCTGGGATACATTTAGGGATGTTTCCGGAGTAGGTCCCTGGTATCTTGGTCAATAACTTGCACAGAATCAATATCTCTATAAGTATTTTCGTACCTGTCATGGTCCATTGTGCCTGTCCGCCCCCGAACTTCGGGCCTAGTTAAGCTTTTTGTTAGGTAACTAGTAGTAAGCTCATCTCATTTCTAATGACATACCCCAGTCATATATCTTGAACCAGTCGCCGCTCCCATCATAGCTTGCTGCCGTGCTAGGGGCTTTGGACATGTATCTATAATGTCGTCAGGGTCAGCTGTTGATGCCTTCAATACTGTTACTCAAACAAGACCAACTAACAGTGAAACAGGACCCTGATGGTACACTGCTTGATCTAGACTGAACGTGAATTGGTCGCCGGCATTCAATGCCAGGGTGCTAGTGCTCCCACCGGTAGCACCGCCAACATTGCATCGAAGGTCGCTCGAAGAGAGATCTGTAAATTTAGATTAGATTTCTTTACTAGAATTAAGGTGTGTATTCATGTTTAAACTTACCAGTCACAGGAGAGTTGTAGTTGGTATTGCGGCGCACAAACTCATATGGTGTACCCTTAGCAGTGCCTTTACTCAGAGCTTGGAAAATATAGTGCCCCGAAACGCTCTGTGCAGTCAGAGCTGCTGCAATAGTAGCCTTGATGAAGCCCTTCATCTTGTGCAGAGCGTTGTAAATGTCAAAATACGTGTTCGCCTAACGGCAGGGTAATGAGAATCAAACGATGCAGACACTGATGGTATATATCTTTCCTCGCCAGATCTTCCTTTGACGTCACACTCTCCCGGCCTCCTGTGAAGGGATGTGAACCTCCGTGGGTCTCGGCAGTTGATATTCCATTCTTGATATTGTCAAGCTTTCTAGACTTTGCTTTATGAAAATGATCGGGCCCATCGGCATCAGAACGGCTAGTAAATGGGCCAAGAATCTGGGGTTGGTCGAGCCTCTACAACCCAATCGGCAATGACATGAAGGTAATAATGTTTGAATTAAACTTTATAGCTCTCTGAAGAACCATGGTACGTTGGCGAGGCGGTTAGATATTGATTGGAGGGTTATGCATTACCCTAGCCCTTCAGAACCAATGAATGCATTCGCACATAATAGCTCTATCTATGAACTCGGCTCGTGACATTTGGAAGAAAACGTAGCACTTGGGACAATGACAGAATAAGCATTTCCATGCTTTCGCCAATATTTCGCCTTGCTGTATTCTTCCCACAGACATCCATGAGCCTGTGAAGGAGTCCACTACGGGCAGGCCTCGGGATGATC